GGACTAGATTTGATATCAGTGATGTCTTGGAACAAGTGAGAAGTAACCGGCGAGCGTCGTATTTTTATGGAGGCACGTTTCCTTTGATGTCTTATTTGCCGCTTGTAATCTGGAATCTTAATCAGGTATTAGCTTCCGAGCTACCGGTAAGATTGACCACAAAGACTGATTTTGTCACCTTCCATTCTTGAAACCCTATGATCGGGGAGTGGGAGCTTGCGACAACCAATGGGAGCAGCTTTTGCAGTGTGATTGACAGTACCAAATCATTGACGCCCTTTCTCCGAAGTGTTTTTGGCACTCCAGATCACCAGCAGAAATCGAATGAACTTTCACCAAACAGCCCCCAAAGTTTTTGTTGCAATAAAAAGCCACAGATAGGCCTTCTGATGTACATAAGAGATGCTGCATGCGTACAACACATACTGCAGATATACATCAATATCACGAACATTGACCTTTCATATTATCTCATGGTGTTATCCCCTACCTCACTTTTCAAATTTTTTTGGCCTGGCAAGTCTTACACCTCCACCTTGCCCCATTCCCTCCCCCATACCGGCAAGATTTAGGCAGATGGAGGAATTCATCCATACAGGCCTTAACTGACTGTCCAAATAATGCAAATAGGTTGGTAATTTCGAACAACACAAATCAAATCATTTTAAAAAAAAAGTAGAATATTTCCTGTTGGCTTAAACTTGGAGACGGTTTTGAAGCGTCGTATGTCTGCTCGCAAGCTCATTATTAATATTTTGTGATCCCATGGTTTCTTATTTTCTACAATAAGACGTGCCATTATCACGAGGGATCATAGAATTATTTATATAAATCCCGAATTTGGGATATTCCGGTTCAGAGTATTTCTTTCACAAAAAGCCCCACAATGCGGGCCTATTTTGGATAGAGGCAGGCGGCTACATTCATATGAGCGCATAGTTTTACTACTATTAGGGGGGTATCTTCGGGAAAAGGCGAATAAAAAAGTTCATAAAATTGAAACGAAAAGTGATCAAACTGGCCATAATCTTGAATTTCAAGCGGAAAAAAAATTATCTTGAATTTCCAGCAAAAAAAAGAAGGCCAACCTCTTCGCGAGGTTCAAGAGTCGGCGCTATTTTGGTCTACGGACGCGTATTTGGTGTAATGCAACCGTAAGACTCAGTGGGTCCGAGTTGACTCGAGGTGGGTCCGAAATGGTGTGGGTCCGAATTGACGTGGGTCCGAGTTGGTTGTGGGTCCGAGATGGTCGTGGGTCCGAGTCGACCTGATCCCGTCAGCCATACTCATTCCTGATGTTTGATGGTTTTGTACACAGTGGCATTTTGAAAAGTGCCCCACCACAGAAAACCTCCGTTTGTACTTTCTTGATCAAATCTTTCCTTAAAAAATCCATAATAATGAATAGATAATATATAATACGTCATTCATTACATTAGCACCCTGTTCCTACTGCAATAAGGAAAAGGAAGTCCACTCTTTCAAGCAAACTGATAACATTCAAACAATGACTTCGTTTTAAGGTAGATTTTGACAATATTTAAGCAAGAAAACTAGAATTTTTTACCCGCATTCGGTGAAAAACGACTACCCCCAGAACTGTGGGAGCAGGGCAGATGTCGGATCCCACAGTTCTGGGGATACAAGACAACCGCATCACAAAATTTTGTTTCACGTCTTGTTACCAGACCCAGCCATTGGGGATATACTGAATTTCATAAAAGACATTTGTATGGTTCCAGATCAAGGAACCAGACTACATGCACTGATTCGTCTTCATTGGCAGCTCTTCGTCGCACCATTTACGCTGCCGTTTTACCTCAAAAACATGCACATATCTGCATTAGGCCCCCCAAAAAGTCTGGTTTCTGGTGACCGTGCGCGTCGCTGTAGACGTGCGAGTCGGCAAAATAAAGAATTTTTTTACACGAAGGCCGTGTCCGAATCAGTTGGCTGCGGCATGATATTACACGTATGCATGATTCTATCGCAACTGGCCGTGGATGCTGCCAAATACATGTGCTTGGTGTAATTTCCGGCCGTAGCCAATTGATTCAGACCCAGGCCCACGTCTGTGAACCAGACAAACAAAGTGGTCTTACATTCTACTTACGTATACAAATGGAAAACTCTTTTAAACAACAAACCGTGAGGGGCCAGTCTATTTCAGTGCCGGGGAGGCAGTGGCGGTACATACACATGCAGTGCATGCAGTGGCGATGGACGTCGCGTTCTGACAACCATACATGTAACAACTCATGCATCGTCACTTGCCAAGAACATAGGTACATGTAGATTAGAGTGAGAGGAGATTTTATTTGCTGAGCTGAATTTTTTCCCCAATATTTTATATGCAACTTGTTTCCTATAAGCTAAAACAGACAACAATGTGCAGAGTATATCATTTGCCTCATGAGAATTTTATTTTCATTTTAACTCCGGAGCTGAACTATTTTTTTCATAGGCTGTTTTTTTACATGCAACTTGTTTCCTCTAAGCTGAAGCAGAAAACAATGTGCAAAGAATGTCATATACTGCTACCTCATGAGAATTTCATTTAAAACCGGAAACTGGAGCTGAACATTAGTTTTTCACATTTAATTTTCCCGTGGCTGTGCTACTGTATTTTAACAAGCTCAATCTTGCCAAGAATTGAAGCCTCTTGTTTGAGTGAGATGACTGAAACCATCGCCTCACGTCATATTTTATGGTCTTTTTATTAATTTGAAGTTGTAAATTCACACTTCTCTTAGTAACAAGGCCATGCGCTCTAAAGTATATGTCACTTCTAAGGGGGAAAAAGAAGCCGCATCACCGCACCACTTTTGGACCAAGCCCATGACCAGAAAGTGGAGTCTTTTTTTTTGGCCTTAGTGTGGTTCCCTGACCACAGATTTCCCTGATGTCCCTATACATTATTTTAATGAGAGTAATCAGAATTATTGGATCTGGTATCCAAAGCAACATAAACGTTTGTCAAGCTCTGCCTGTTTTTTGTCAACTGACGTACAGCCTCAGAATGTATACATGCATCAAGGAATTTATAGGTCAGGATGGTAGGAAAAGGCTAATTTTTTGCTCATCAGATAATGTAGGCTACACACTACGAAATACTGCACACACGTGCCCAGTATATTCATATACACATATGTATATGTACATATAGGTTATCTATTACTGTGGGCATTTTAGGGGAAGATTTGATAAAAAAAACCGCAAACAAAGGTTTTCCCTGGTACGATTGTGGATCACTTGTCAAAATGCCTTTGCGTACGAAACCATCAAACATCAGGAATCGGTAAGGCCTGCAGACTGTTCAGGTAGTAAGGGGCCTGTAGGCGTACCACACGACCCCAGCAGTAGGCCAGCAGTTGGGGTCTGGTCATCATCATCGGCCGGCCGTGATCTGTCCACACTGGACTAAAGCCCCAGCATGCTGATGCCAATTTGCTCTGTTTGTAGCTGCTGCTTGCCAGTGAACAGTGCCCCAATATCTGTCCAGGTCATCTCATCCCCTCGTTCACTGTCTGCCTCTGTTCCTTTTGCCATCCATACATGTAGGTCTCGATGATGTTATGATTGAGCTCCATCTGTTGTCTTTTCTCCTAAGGTGTCCTGCCCATTGCCACTTACTGAGTTTAATAATTTCCTAAATGTCTCGAGTTTTGGTTCGTTCTCTAACCCAGTCATTTGTTTCTCCGTTGCCAAGCATACTCCTGTCCATGGTATGTTGTGCTGCAGCTATCTTCTTTCCAGTTTGGTTGTCAGTGTCCATCTTTCTGCTCCATAGGTCATTGATGAGATAATGCACTGTTCAAACACCTTCCCTTCCAGGCATAATGGAATATCTCCTCTCATGATGTTACTCAACTTTCCATATTGGCACCAACCTAATTTAGTCCTTCTTTGAAGTTCTTAATCTTGATCTTTATTCAAACTAAGTCTTTGTCCCAGATTGATGTACTCATCAACTTCTGAAATTGTGTTTTTAAATGAACCATTGATCATGGCAGATCTTTTTGGCACTCAGGTATTCTCATTGTCTTTGTTTTCATCATGATCAGGTCAACTCAGACCCAAACCAACCTGGACCCATGCTATCTATGACCAATTATCATCTCGGACCCTTGCAAACTTGGACCACTAAGACCTACTTGTAGGGGCCTAAAAGAAAAATTTAAAAGGACTGTATCAAAAAATAAAAACAATACTCAGTCAACAGCCATCTGGGCCAGCAGAGCCAAACTCTGAATTAACAGTAATAAAAGTACAAAACCCTCTTAGAACCGCTTTTGGACCCCAAAATATTGTTGGTTCTAAATTCTCTGTTCTGTGACTAAAGGTGCATTTCCATATGTTCCTTTTTGGGTGCGTTGCCCACACGATGCGTTCATGCGTTTTCACTCTTTTGGACACAAAATTGACTCCATTTACATCACATGTGTGCGTTGCGTTTGGCCATCAAAATTGCCTCGGGAACGCAAAAACAAGATGGTGGCTGGTCAGGCTTCATCAGCAGGCCCGACTTTGTCACTCAAATCTGAACACTCAAATATCATTTCAGATAGATAGGATACATTGAATTTGATACATGTACATGTATGTAAGAGCCTAAGTGAACAGAATTTGCATAAATGTGCTTGTTGACGCTAAATAGCATGACCCGGCTAACTCAGGCAGGGTCATGCTATTTTTAGTGTTAACAAGCGTCAACAAAGTGTCAACAAGTTATTAAAGCATATTAAGGCCAAAATGTTATATTTATGATATTAACCGGGCATCTACATATCATGTTCAATGTATAATACTTGTCTAAAATGATATTTAAGCGTGGAATTTGAGCAACAAAGTCAGGCCTGCTCGTGCAGCCCTACCGGCTGCCATCTTGTGTTTGCCTGGACAGCAGAGAAAAGAATGACGGCGGCCCCCACACATTGCAAAACGTTTTTGTTTTCCATCAAGAATCAGGAAGCTAATTTGCCATTTCTCTTACACATTGGTAGATTGTAGCATCTCTAAAACTTGATAAAAACCACTTTTAAATCTTTCGGAGGTATTTTCAAGGTGACACTTTGTTGATGCAACTTGAGTATGTTGATGCTAAATACATGTAGCATGACCGCTTAGGCCAACTAGGTCTACTAGCCTACTAGTCCTGCTAGTCTGAAAAATGTGGACACGTATGTTCACCCCTTCCACTTATTCTGTGCGCATGTGCTAAACTTTGGCTAAGTCATGGTCACTTTCGGTTGCGTGTTAAAATGGCGACGCCAGCCAGAAAACAACTATACCAAAATCCATCTGCGGAGATCTTCCACATTGTGTCAGAGTTTGCTGAATTTATACCAGAGAAATATAATCAGGCTTCAGATTTCATTTTGTGGTGTGTTTCTTGTTAATCATACGTGACTTTTGGGAGGAAATTGGGTGAAAAATACCTGTGTACATGTACATGTATGTTACAATTCCAAACGTAAAAATAGGGTTGTTTTTAATTCAAAAATTTGAATTGTTCTCCAGTTTTCCAAACATCCTGCATATCTTGATAACTGAAAGAGGGTTTGAAAAAGGTTACCATGTTATGTTAAAGCTATTGCGAATTGCCCTTGGTCAGTTTGATAAATTTCAATTTTGGCTCTCTGTCGACCAGTTGGCCATGATTTATGTGTGTGCATGTGCACGTTAATGTACTTGTACTCCATCAATGCATGTAAACCTATAAATGCACTACTACAGACAGAAAGATTCTCAAGCAAAATAATTCATTTCACAATAAATTGAAAATACTACCGATGTTTTAATTGGGTCTTAATACACACGGCCTTTTATTTCGTTTATTTGGATAAACTGGAGAAGTTGTTTTACAATGGGAAAGACAGTGGACATATCTTCTTTCAAATCTGATCGTGTTTATTTTTTGTAAAAATCACTTTTTCAGAATTTGTTTCAAATTTTGAGCAACTGGGTTAATATAATACAGCGGTTTAATGATGTCTAATCATTTTTCAATTATCAGGTTGTCTCTGTGAACTTTATTTGCTTGTGTTTTGTCAAATATAAACTTGATGGTCTCCATCCACAGAAAAAAGTGTAGGAACGATGTCCGATGTCGCCTGCCTCGAAATGCACAGTAAAGTGATGGAGTACGCATGCGCTAACTCTCAACTAAGTGGTGCACAAGGGCATGGGAGTGAACATATGTGCAGACTCTACAAATCACCTTTTTTAACATTTGGACACGGTCGAGCGATAGTAAAGTCCAAGGCTCTTCCATGTACTTTTGCTTTCATTAATTCATTTCACTCAAAGTAACTCATTCATTGTTGTACCCCGACTCAAAATCCTCTGAATTCACCTCCAAAACGGTCCTTGCACCTGCTTAGGATTAAGCGAGAATGTGAGATCAGGAAGGTGATCCATATACAGACAACACTAAATGTTGCACTGCTCAGGAAACAGTCATTGCATACGTGTTAAGACACTGCATGCTTTTTGGTGAATGGTCCGCTAGCTCGGCTGGGGCATCATGACGTCATCTCCAGGTACATTAGCAAATAGTTTGAACCACTGAATAGAGAAGAGGACAAATGTGAGCTTGGTGACAAGAGAGTGGAGGTCAAATTGTCACACTCTTCTCATGGGATTTTTACTTCATACCCATTATGACCAGTTGACCTATTTCTCTCATGGTCAACAGGTCCCTCAACTACATGCCTTTCATTCTTTCTTGTACACTTTTCCATTAGTTTCCGGTCTCGATAAAATTTGATCCTCATGTCATAGCTCATTCAACGTTGTTAGTGCGCCCTCTGGCGATAGCATTCCACAAACACATTCCATGCGACGCTATGCAAATTTAGCCACATGTGCACTCACAGACATCCTTGCAAACGCCCTTCCGCGTTTTGTCACACCCTCCTTCCTCCATGGTGACACAAATTGAGTTTATTGTTTCGCTTTTAGTTTAACAACAGTGGCACACTGTTATGCATTGGCCAGGCAATAGTCTCCTTGTCTTGAGAATGCACATTTTTCGGGCAGAACAGCTCCGAACTCTGAGGAGAACATATGTTTCTCCTGACATGTCTTTGCTATTTTGCCTGCATCACACATTGTTGCTATACATGTACATGCATTTTCACATGTTCACACTTGTGTATACCGTACTGCCGGTTGTGAAACCATCTTTGGTGTTCACTCTCATTGCGAGTCTTGTGGTGCTGGATTGTTGGCATCAGGAGTGACACAGATTGTGGAAGGCTGCATGTTTCATCCATCTTACACACGTACATGTACCTCCTTCCATCTTGAAATCCCGATTTCCACTAGGTCCTCGAGATCACTTAGTGCCATGAATGTCGGTTATTGCCACAATACAGGCGATTCTCTACAGTGCGCCCCCAAGAGTCTGCAACGTGTTGGCCAATCACAATGCGCGAAATTTGTCGACCCTTTCCAAACGCGCATTGGGTCAACAGATTTTGCGCATTGTTATTGGTCAACGCGTTGCAGACTCTTGGTGGCGCACTATTGTGAATCGCCTGCATTGACTGTTGTTTACATGTATACCCTAATATTGATCTGTACAAACCAGTACCATAAGTTAACTATTCTTGTACAGACATAAATTGTCCAAATTTTTGTATATTTTTTTGAATCCATTTTATAATAAAATTCCTCTCTACAATTCTGGTTGCTCACTTGGGCTTCCCTTTTCTTTGAGAGAGGTTCTGCAAGGATTGAAACGTCAGGCCCTCCATACTTTTAAATTTGTATTTGGGGTCATTGTAGTCAGCAAGCAGTTTACAGCAGTTTTGTTTTACCTGCCAGTGAAATGAAATATTAGCTTCCTTCACTTTGTGGCCGTGTAGGATTTTGAAGATATGTAAAAGAGAGCAAGGGCCCAGTTGCCTCAGCCTTATTGGTTTCATTGCTGACACACAGACTGTTCCACTTGCTCATTTCTCTCCAGAGTTCATCCTTCACATCTGCACATTTCATGGTTCCCTGTCTATCCACAATCATTGTCTCTTTGTCACTTTGAAAGTGCTCACGCAGAAACTAGACCCTGAAAAAATATTGCTAAGACACTTATAGACTTGCACCCATTGTCAGTTGGAGAGGAATGTTCCCTCAAGGGTGCCACAGCTGGCCTGTATTTAGAACATGGTTTTAGTTGACATTGCATTTTTGCAGTTAGTGATTGATTTCCTGCCACTTCTTTCTTTGTGCCTATACAACCATCATTGTGTACAGGGATTTTACTTCACATTTTTTTCATTGGTTCCATGCCATGTTAAAGGAATGGTCACTGATGCGTGCTGAGTGAACCGAATGTTGCTCAGTCTAAATTGTGGCTAGACATACACGGACATGTACACTGTACATGGAAGTAGTATGAATACATGTAACGTTTAAAACCTTCCATCAGACATAACCAGAGGCTGTTCAGGAGTTAGATACTGTCTAATAATACAGGATCATAGGGGAATAATGATGCCATTGGGGGAAGGAATTGTTAACTAATTGTTAACTAAGTTAATCTTTCAAGTTGTGTTAATTATTGTGATTGGTTTACAGCACTGAAGTACATTTACCAATTCCAAGTGCTACAGTATGGAGACTAGTGTACAATCTAAACAAGGGTTACAAGATGACCTGAAGCCGATGCCTGGCTGCGACCTTCGACCTGCGACCTCAAGTAGTAACCTAGCTGCAAGTTACCAGGCTGCAGTAGATTTTACCGCGGGGGCTTTAGGTAAGATTAGTTAAAGTGCATTGTAAAGAGGGTCAAATTACAGCCAGACTGTTAAATAATTGATTTTTTTTTAACAAAAGTGGATATTTAACAATTAGCGCTGTGGTGTGGGATGTGACCTGAGGGACTCATAGGCCCCCTCCCAGGTGAAGCCCAGGGCACTATGCATGCCCGAAAAACTGCAACACTGACTAAAGGACCACAAATGTTCATTCTTGAACTTCCTGAAACTCTTCTGTTTTGGGCATGTACGCGTGTGCGTGCACGCACTGTTGGTAGAATAAGATGACTCACGGTGAGTGTGATATGCGATATATGTCGCCCTGTTATGTGATCATTCTGGGCCAATAAATGGCAATACTGTATGTGAAAGGGAGGCAGGATTCCCAAAATATTTTATCCACCCACATGTACGTGCATGAGTTGTTCTATGCACAGGAGGGGAAAATAGTTATTATTGTCATACCTCTGTCTTGAATACCATGTTTTCATTGGTCCAGAATGCTCATGTGACAGGGTGACATAAGCGCATGTCACACTCATCACTGTTAGATATCACATCAGCCAGCATTGTATGCATATGCGTGCACACTTAGATGTATGCCCCAAGAGTGTACAGAATAATGCAGGGACTGCGCACCACTAATGTTCAAAGATTCCTTTGTCACCTTTCATTTTCCTCAGAAAAACAAGGAAAAAATCATAAGAGAGATATGACAAAGCAATTGACTGCTGTAATGTCAGAAATAAAGTTTCAAACACCCTCAGGTATCCATTTCACCTCTGGCGCTATGTGTCCCGTGGGTTTTCAAAACATGATATCTAGTGCTGCAATCCAAGGTTCAGGTTCGGTTCAGATACGGTTTGAAAATTTTTTGCCGAACTTCGGTTCAGGTTTGAACATGTACACACTTGTACGTACAAGGAATTCCAAAGATGAAAGGAATTCCAAAGATTCTATCAACACAAAAGAAGACACAATAGGGGGTCCCCCTAGCCGTACCATATATCGTGCATCATATGTACATAAGTACATGTACATGGTCAATGCACATTGAGACATCGGAGAGCTTGCTACGAATATGCCATAGCACATGTACTTCTGTGTGTAAAATACACTAATATCAATGAATCTCCTCCGCCCCCATCCATGAGGAACTTTATTTTTTTTTTTTCTAAACTGTTTCCCCAAAGTTTACCAGGAGTTACAATTCCATAGAATGTTAGCGTCGGAGGTGTGACATTTTCTGACCATGTTTTGCCGACCAAAAGTTGTTGTGTTTGGACCATACTTGACTCAACAAAATGATCTTAGGCTATGTGAATATAGAAAAAACAGCATGTTGGAACGAGAGTTTCCTCCTTTACAGGATACAAGATCAAACTAGGTTTGAATTGAATTGTATTTTGGTTATTTTTCACATAATAGATTCAGCTACCAAACTATGGCATTCAATATATTTGAAAAACCTCGGTTTCAAGTCAGCGTTCTGTCTGAGAATGTCGCCCACGTGGCCAAAGGGGCGATTTTCCATCAGTCTTTTTCAAATGGATAACGGCATTTCGTTATTTGAGATTTGCGAATAACTTAGAAATCTGGCAAAATTCTATTACAACCTACACGTACATTCTACAACTTAGACCAAACAAAAGGGAAGTTAATTTGGCCAATGCGTGCACCACATCTGGTAGTGTGCTACGTAGTGCTGCTCCGCCTGGCAAAATTGGCTTTTACTTTAAAATTGCCTTGATTGAGCACGAGTCTGAATGTCATCAGCGTCCAATCAAAATTTGTGTGGCATGGCCAATTTTGACATCATTTGCCTAATATGCTACATAAGGGTATGTCATGCCAGGTTAAAGCCGAACATTCGAACTGACCAGTTTGGTTCGGTTCGGTTCAGTCCGGTTCAAAAGTGCCATGTTTTATGAATTTTTATTCAGTTCGGCAGTTCGGCTGCAGCAGTAGTGATACACCACACCACAGCATTCAACAATTGTTAAATAGAAACTGATGTTCCAGGCCTGTTCATCTGCTGGCATTGTGCTGATGTGCAAGGATTGAGAACCTCTGCTTACAACAAACTCATTGTAACAATTTGTCTATCAATGCAACATATGAATTAGTGAGGTTTGCCCATGCTGATAGTAGCAACTTGGTATTTACACAAACCTTTCTTTTGCGATGAAACCTTTTGCGATGCAACAAGTGTCATTTTTGCCAACCCTGAAAGTATGCCTGGCCTGTGTGTACAAAACTGAAATATTACATGCAATCACAAACATTTTGAAATACCTCCTGCAAATATTGAATTCTAAATAATGAATAAATCAAAAGATGACTTCAGTTTCAACATTGAATAAAGAAATGTGCATTTTGAGGCAAAAGCCATTGCCAACAAAAGGTAAACTTTCTGCAATCTTTTGCTGCCCTTACCAAATGGTGGTCCATTTGCAAACAAAAGAGACACCTGTTACGTGACCTGACTCCAATTAGCAATAAACCTGTCCATAATTACTTTGCATCTGCAGTGTGGGACAGGTTTGGTACAACATGTATTCTATGACCAGCTCAAAGATCAATCAACCTCAATTTGTAGAGACATTAATTTACTTGTTTTGCCCATGTTTGTCATATTTTTGTTGTTAACAGGTGGTGTGGCATGTGTCTTAGTTGGTCAACCTTTTGATACAGTCAAAGTCAAGCTCCAGACCTACCCCAATCTCTACCCCAGTGCTATGAGATGTTGTGGACAGATCTTCAAGAAAGAGGGGATTCCAGGTTTGTTTCGGGGCACTCTTCCTGCAATGGCAGCTAATGTTGGAGAAACATCCGTCTTATTCTTATGCTATGGACTCTGTCAGAAGTTTGTGTGTCGCCTCTCGGGAACAGACAATATAGAAAATTTGTCAGTTATTCAGAATGCCTCATCAGGGTTTGTTGCTGGCTTCTTTTCATCGCTTGTCCTTTGTCCAACGGAGCTTGTCAAATGTCGTCTACAAGCTATGACAGAGGTCATGGCCACCTCTCAGAAACAAACACAGAGAATGTAAGTTAGTCAGATTAATGTCTTATTTTATGAGTTTATTTCAAACTTGTTATCAGACTTTGATGAAGACAAATTTCCTCAGTACTTCCTGTTGTAATAAGCTTGTGTAAGGGCAAAGGTTGTCATAATGGAAGGCCCACTCAACATGTTCCAAGAACAAACTGTATGTTCCTAAAATGTCCCACTTAGAACAAGAGGACTGTTGTACATGGGTTAAAACAACAAGTGCAACATACAAGCGTTTTGTAAATATTGCCTTTATTTCCATTATCACAAGCTTTGTACTTGAGGGGTTTTTACATGAGCTCACATGTACATGTTTGCTTAATTGGGATACCCATTATGCAACCCTAACAAGGTTGTAATTATATTTGTTACACCCCATATGCTTCTAAGTTATATATACTGAGTATTTGGCAGCGTCACTGAAAGATGCTCAGTAGATGGACTGCCAACCAGACTTCAGCACCGCATAAATCTGGTTTAGAGTGATCAACAATCCTGGACAAATCTTGTTGGGCCTCCAACCCCCAGACACCCTTTCAATGTTGGGTCTGTGCGCGTGGTCTGTACACGTGGTCTGTGTTCCTGCTGGACATGACTACATTGACTGGGGCAGGGGGCTGGAGAGAGTATGGCTATTGCTAAGTGTTCCAACAGTTTTGTCCAGGATTGTAGGTCTGTGTCTGTTCCATTTGAAATACGCAGAGACACACTAATTATAGACCTAGCTGTAGCTCTGGAAGCCTGTTGTGGAAGGCATAGGCTTACTGACCAGGGCCAATAGCATGCACACATGGCTGCAGGTGTATTGTTACATGATTTTTTTCCAACTCAAAATAAAGTCGAATTCAATAACCAAAGTCCCTAGACTATGATGTATGACGAAGTTCACCAACCTTGGTCTTCCTCAATCTGTACCTTTCTTTGTTATTCTTAGGCTGCATTAAAAAAATGTTGATCGTCCGCGCTCGACCCACCAAAATGCCCCGAATTTCAGTTTTGACTTTTTAATCCTCTTTTTTATGTTTGCTATGCATAACTAATTGATTGCTACATAAAAATCAATTTTTTGCTATGCGGAAAAAATTGCATACATGTAGCAAATTTGCTACACAAAATTTTGGAGCGAAGTGCTCACTGTACTTTAAAACATCTAGTTCATTTATTTTGTTTTTAGAGGACCTTGGCAAATAACCAAGAATATCCTCAGGAATGAAGGCATCTTGGGACTCTTCCAAGGTTTAACAAGCACGTGGGTACGGGAGATGCCAGGCTATTTCTTTTTCTTCTTCTTCTATGAAATCTCAAGAGCTGTGCTTACCCCAGCAGGAACTAGCAAGGATGATTTGAGTAGGTATACCTGGAATTTCATACCCCGGATTACCTAAAAATAATGCCGTCTCTTGATGCTGGAGAAATAAAGATGTTGTACATGTCCATCTTCCTTTCGTCTCTTGATTTTGAAATTTGAAATCCACTGCAAAATGCAAACTCAACAAATTTCAAATGGCCTTTTCTGATTTTCTGTTCAAGTTTATATTACTTCAAATGAAACACCAAGATTTATACAGACATGCAGTTGCATTCCTATTGTAAAAGAGAGAGACAGTGTTTCTGGAGGGAACAAATCTAAACACTGTATCTTGTCCTTCATCATGACTATGTGTTGATATGTACATCACGAAACATTACCAAGCCCTGTAAAATCATTCTTAGTTTGAACAGTAGGTAAGTTTATCATAAACATGGCTCACTTTTCCTGTCTTGTTTGCCTGATGTACATGTACAAAGTTTCCTGCCCTTTTTTCTCCTCTTGCAACATTATTTGTTCTTTGTGTACTACCCAGGTCCATTACGTCAAATGGTCTGTGGTGGCATGGCTGGAGCTGGTCTATGGACAGCCATATATCCAGTAGATCTTGTCAAATCTAGGATACAAGTCAGATCTGTCACGGAGAAAATGCCAGGCTTTCTCTCAGTTACCATGGATATTATTAGGAAAGAAGGTAAGCAAACATTTCACTTGTGCCGTAGCCAGATGTTACAGGCAGTAAAGTTAATAATAGTACTCATTCATTTATAAAGCGCAAATTTCATACAGATATGTTCAAATGCATTGCACACTGAAGACATTAAACATGGTTGACTGAATTGCATACAAGGGCACCTCAGGCAGCTGCCAAATGTCCGCATCTAGAGAGAGGAGACAATGAGAAGCAGTTACAGTTTCAGAGGTGGGAGGAAAATCCCAGAGGAATATTCTTGGTAATACCCATGGAGTCAGGTAGGGACTGAAAACCCAATTCATATGCGGACTGAGGTGGGAATTGAACCTGGGCTGCAGAGGTGGTAGGCGAGGAAAGAACTATTTTGCCAACCTGACTCCCCAAGTTGACCACCTAGTATGAAAAAGATGTTATCGTAATAAGAAGTGCTGTGGCTATCTTGTATGTATGGTTCCTAAGAGCAAGCCCTGTGATATGTCACATGGCAGGTTAAAGGCCCTCTGATATGTCACATGGCTGGTTAAAGGCCCTCTGATATGTCACATGGCTGGTTAAAGGCCCTCTGATATGTCACATGGCTGGTTAAAGGCCCTCTGATATGTCACATGGCTGGTTAAAGGCCCTCTGATATGTCACATGGCTGGTTAGAGGCCCTCTGATATGTCACATGGCTGTTTAGAGGCCCTCTGATATGTCACGTGGCTGGTTAAAAGCAGCTGTTGTATCTTGCCAATAATAATACAGTCGACTCTAGTTATTATGAAATCAGCCATAATGAAATTCAGGTTATAAAAAACACAAGTCTGTGGTCCCGGCAAAAACGTGCACGGTTTTTCTAGGGAAAAAATCTGTAACAGCGAAATAACACTGAACAAAATTCCTGTTATAACGAATGGTTTTTCATGACTCAGTTACATGAAAAACCATTGTTGACGACCCATTTATAATGAGCGTTTGTGAATCCCAGTGGTGAAAACATGTGCGCAGTGCATTACACTGGTTCCTGCCGGGCTGAACCGTTGCCAAAGAAGGCTCTAGGTAAATGCGGCAACCAGTCAATGTACAGTTCCTACCAAAGAGGGTCGCTAAAATTCTGCTACATGTACACGAACATCGTATACAAATGCAGCTCTACAGTTGCAAGTCACAAAAAACACTGCCCTCACAAATTTTTCTGCTGGCTCATTCACAAAAATTGATCTCATGTCTTACGTTTGTGTTTTCTGTGTTCATGTATATAATTTGAAGATGTACTGCTCGTACTCAACGAGCGTGTTTCTATAGAATTTCTAGCCACAGCACAAGGCTAATGGCTCACCCCTCCAGATGCATCACGCACGCTTACAACGCGATACACAGACATCGTTTGCCAGTTTCCTGATGTCACGAAAAGCGTAAAAAGCGATTCAAAAATCTGCGATTTTTTACATTGATTACACAAACGTCACAAACATCACAATGGATGTATATTTGATTAATTACAACCAAGAGATCTTTTTGATATAACATCAACCACGCGTTCGTGTGTGCATACACGTGCATATGCACTGAAGCCATTGCACTGCGTTCCGCCTACAACAAATTTTGGATACAACAAACGTTTCTACGTGGTCCCACGGATTTTGTAATAACAAGAGTCTACTGTACCATGCTTGAGACTGAGTCAGTGTATAATACTTGCATCTGCAAATAGTTAAAGTTCCTAAGCCCTTGCTTTTTGGATTTGACTCTGCAAAACTGATGTTTTCAAATTAAATTGTTAAAATTTTATGAATGACCTTTGCAGGAGTAGAAAACTGAATAAGTTTTAAACATTTGATTTGAAGTATCCAGTTGCAACAGTATTGATACACACTAAATTCTGTGGGTTGAAGAGTATAATACATCGTAACATTTTGGAAGACCAAATAGTAGACAGAGTGTCAGAGTATATTCTCTGCTTTGGGATTTCCATTGAATGAAGCACGCCCACATTGATGGGGGCTTCAAATTTGAGTCAAAATGAGCAAAAATGAAACAAATAAATGTATTTTGTGTGCTGGTTTTGTTTTGACTTTGTGCTGTCAGGTTTTTTGAAGCTCTATTCTGGTCTGGGTCCCTGTGTTCTACGAGCATTCCCTGCTAATGCTGCATTGTTTCTCACCTATGAATGGAGCAGAAAACAGATGATGCTACACAGACCAGGTTGGGCATTGTGATGTCATCGTTCAGGTCATCAACAACATTTTCATATAGGCAATAATTAATGACAATTAATTTGGCAGTGTCTTGTAAGCAATAATATAAGTAAAAAAAGGAAAAAACCCATGCGTAACGGGCCCTTCAAAATTGTAGATGCTTTAAAATTTCTCTGACCCATACACCCTTTTTCAATTAAAAAATGAATTTTTTCATTCCGTATTATAACATGCATGGTGGGGAATGCCATGTTGGGACCGCACATACAAATTCCTGTTACAGCACTCCCTGATATAATGTTCTTCTCAATATAAAAGTGATCTTTTTGCATCCGCGGTCTGTCATTGACCGTGTACATTTAACTTTAGTTACAGCACTCTCGTTTAAAGATCAGTCACATTGGTAATTCACAAATTTCAATTTTTTATGAAATTTAGTTATATTTTAAATAGTCTCAATTGGTAAAAGCCAAATAAAGGTTGTTACTGAAGTCAAAATCAAAAGTTGAAGTCCTTCATCATATCAGGCAAACTGAAAACAAAAGTTGTGTGGAGCATCCAGTAGAAGCCTGTTTTGATGACGTCACACTATGGCTCTGCAATTATATGACTATCATTACTTCGAGGCAAACGAGCCTGCGTGCATGAGCGCTGTACTTGCTCGCACTTAATTGTAAATTAAAAGAGGTAGGACAGTGAGAGCAACTTGGAATTACCTTTCCATCGACAATGTTGATCAACACTGGATCTTATGATAACGTTGAACAGTCCCAATTTGAATCAGAGTAAGGTAGTGATGAATTCCAGGCAGATGGCTGCAGTCATTTGCCCAGAATTACATCTAACTTACTTTACGCATTTTTTCTCTGTTATTGTGCTATAAAGCCACTTATTATGGCTGCAAGGTCAAGAAACTCTGGGGGAATGAGAGCCATATTATGACATCATCAAATGGCCAAATTTATTTGCCGCCCTCATCAATGCTTTTTTTTTAACTCCCGCATTCTCATGGTAGAACTTTAACTCCCAAAAATGACAATTTTTTTTTTTAATGCAAAGAGAAGTTGCCACATTAGTCATAATATGGGTAATAATGACCAATTCCTTGTTAAATAACCAATAACCAATGCAATGTGATTGATCATTAAAGCATTTTCAAGTTGAAATATTACATCCCAGATAAGACATGCAAAATATTGACCAGTGATTTGTTGGTTCCGGTTATATGCAACGGTGCATCAGCTGAAATGGGTTGCCTTCCTGGACTGGCCTTCACTCCTTAAGCCTGGTAACGGTCCAACAGAAAATCAGGCTTCACTGAATCACTGAAAATATTTGCACTGAGACCTTGACATAAATACATGAAATTAAAAACTACTGATTCATGAAAAGCAATCTAATTTGTGAACTAACTCACCAAGATATTTCTCAAGTTTTTGATCATTTCTCGTTTTCAATTTTTCAAAGTTCAGTGTGCATTATTTATGTTGTCATAGGGGCCACTGGTTCCTGGCCATTCCACGTCATTCTTGCTATTTGTAGCCGTAGGAACCAGTTCACCATGCATGTAGTCTTCCACACAATTTACCCGATACAAGATGCTTCACATTTGCGAGGAAGCCTGCAGAGTTTGCAAATCACCAATTATGACAGACATTTTATATTTGACTCTTTACACGCTCATCTTCAAAAATATTTACGGAAAAATTCAAACAATTTTGGATGGCTCTGGATGTGTTTGCCGTCAGATTATGCTGTACAGTGCAGGTGCACTTGTGCATTGGTTTTATGCTGTTACATTAGTTTCAGCACTGCTCAGATAATGCAAAATAAGCTCGGTACTGAGTTATTGTAACGGTAATCTGTAGCATGCAGCACATACATACATGTAGTGGCGATCCACGTTGCTTTCCTTGTAGTCTTGAATTCAAAGTCCAGTGGTGAAAGCAACTGATAATAAATGCCTGTGGTGTGAAAGCTGGTACCCCGCTGCCGTTGTAAGACCACTTCAAATGTCTGGCTTCTAAGTCCAATGAAATGCTCCTTCACCCATGAACGTTTCACACTTACTTTGATGATGTACAGGTCATTCTATCTGTTACTGGGAGCAAAGTTGAATAGGTCATAGTTCACGCAAGTCAAAAAATCAATTTCTTTTTCTTTTTTTATGAAATTGGAATTTTGATTTTCAGTTTTAGACCTTAACCCACCCACTACTTAAAAAAGTATCCAAGGATATGTAATACAAAACTGCTGCAAACTGATTGCTCCACTACAGTGACCTAACATACAAATCTTAAAATATGGAGGGCCTGACATTTCGATCCTAGCAGAATCTTTCTCAAAGGCAAATATTCTGCTAGGATCGAAAATGCCAGGCCGTCCATATTTTGAAAAAAAAATGCAAAATAGAAAATAGAATATATCAAAAATTTTGATTGGCACCTAAAATATATTTTAATTACCATTGAAATCATTGTTCATGCTGTTGATAGGCTGAAAATCGAAGGAAATTATAGTATGTTATATAATTATATTAATTGTAACTTTTTAAGACAAGGTTTCATCGTTCAGATATATTCAAAACAAAGAGAGGAAATTTTCAGGTTGCATGTTTTTTAAAGAGTTCCTAACCAGTAGTACATTGACTCTGTTAAAATTTAAAGTGATTTTTAGGCAATTCCATGTAAAAGTGCCAATGTGGTATTCCGTTGCCGAGCTCATCAATGTTAATACTTAATATATATAAAAAATTTCCAAACCCTTAGCAACAAATGTACTATTCCATTTTATTTCACCTTCATGTTTGCAAATCTTGTGTTTGCGTTTAACACTTTGTCACCTTTGCTTGGAATTGCCCTTCTCTTTTTGGTTATTCTGTTATTTATTTTCAGCACTTGATGCCATTAAGTGTATTTCTCACTTCTTTTAATCAGCGTGGATTTTTTTCTCCCTTTTTATGTTTTATTTGCTTGATTTTGGATAACTATCAATTGAAATTGCAGAGTGTATTAAAGAGGTCATTCCCAAAGAGGGTAGACTTAAGACCCAAGTTTGTGAATTGCAGATTTTTTACACAAGTTAATACTAGCTTGATTTTGTTTGAAATAACACCCCCCTCCCAAGAAAAACCATGACAAAAAATGCTGCAGTGGACTAAGTCCACTTGTGCATGTTTACAGTATTCATTGTAAGACTGAAATGGAGTAGTATAAGATTTCATCCTTTCGTGAAGAATCATTCCAAAGAATTTTGTTGTTTTCAAGATACGGTAGTCATCTAATGTTAAAATTTAAAACAAAGGGGGAAAAATCAACCCACCTTATCGTAGCAAAGTCTGGACTGATATCCAACGCATGTTTTAGATAACTAGAGAAATAACGAATTGAAAAATTAAAAAAATTCTCAATACTGGCTTTCATTATGAAAAAACATTGATCTACATGCACCTACGTTGCACAAGCTCCACTGTAATGGCACGTTTAGTTTTTGGGGACAAGTCACCTGTCAGTTGGTTCATCTCACACATGGAAGGTTGGAAGCTTTTGTTTTGCTGTCTCAAAGTGCAGGAATGCAAATGATATAGTTAATGGAAAGCTGATAAACCAGCAATGCACCACACCAGCAATCTTCAAGCTCATACGGTGATGTACATGTACTAACCCATTAATGCCTCATTACCCTTGTTATATATTTCACATGAATACCAGTTTTTATGCATTAGCGATGAAGGTTCAAAATTCACTCCAACAGTAAAGATTGCACTGTCAAGACCAATTTGGTCCATAAAAAGATGACATTTAGAGCCAAAAATCTTTGTGGAGGATGATATGGTTTACTGACATGGTGTTTATTCACCACTAGGTGCGCCCTCTATTGGTAATACATTTGACTCTGTTACACTGTTATAACAAAACACTGTTATAAAGAACAGATTTTGAGAATCCTAATTTCTTGAATTCTTATGGTTTTTTTGTTTTCCACTCCATTTCATGATAAAGTCTGTGTCATAAGGAGACATGTTATAACTTTGTTATCATGAGAGATGAGTGTAGTAGAAATTTCCAAGAAACTAAACACCCTATATCAAATGGCAGTTCCTCTATACTGAGTTGACATCTGGACAGGTGGAAAGAAAGAGTCCAGGAAGCAATCTGCCCCCAACAGAAGCATCCCCTCATTGGTTGAAAAGAGCCATGTTGCTTGGGAGTGTTCATTTTGTTGCCGGTAGCGATGCGACTGGAGTGCTTGTGTTTCATAGTCGTTCCTGAACCAGTGATAGCATACATGTAGTAACTACTTATAAGGAGCCTCTGTTGATTGGAAAATTGTACCCTATCTTGGTCCAGCTCCATTTGAAGCAAGATATGGGACGGAGAGGACCCCCCCCCGCCTTTGTGTTGGTCATTGTTTGATCAGAGACTCAGGAATTCTTCACAGACTTCTAGGGGGATGTGTTAGGTAACAATAGTCTAGAGTGTGTATAGGGATTGGACAGGTAGGGGGGGGTACCCCTCCGTCCCATATCTTGCCTGGTATATCCAGCTCAGAGCTCAGACTTACTTTTGATGACTGCATTTATCATTTTGTTTCATTTCACAATCTGTATATATATCAAAGTTCCAATTTATTACTCAAATATGTTGTCGTGAAGGAAGGCGGGTATTGGTCAGACTGAATGGCCTTTGCTACAAACTTAGATACAACCTTACATGTATCTGTTTGAGGTAATGTGACCCGCATCCCCTTTGATCCCACTTTTGTCATGCCTCTGATCTGCTCCCATAAGGCCACTCTCTCTCTCTTCTTGAAAATGCAAAGTCAAAGAATGCAGTAATGTTAAACGAGCAATTAAATAAATTGGGTCATATTTAGACGTGTAGAAGACTTCTTGTCATTTCTTTACATGTTTTAGTTGATCAGTTTGTGATATTGGTTAGATTATTAATTCATGTTTGTTCAACTTGGAGATACCAGTAACTGCCTTGCCACGTCATACGGTTTTGAACATCACTTGCAAATACGGTGATTTTCACGAACCTTCCATTTTATTTTGAGCATGCTTGCATTTCCATTTCTATATAAGGATTTTTTACCTATCAAGTGTAACCATCATTGATCATCATGTATGGAGGCAACATCCTACACAAGTCCTGCATTTTCAACTTACCTTCTTGAACTTATACTCCATCGTCCATTTTTTTTTAATGACCTACATTGCACAGACATCTAACAGATTTCCTCCTTTCCGTTAATTTTCCCCAAAGCATATACCACACTCTTCCTTTCAAAAACCTTGTTTGCAGCTTGCAAATATAGAATACCTTCTTTCCTACTCTGGGAATTCCTTATTTTTAACCTTAACTCGTTAGTTAAGGGTGTGATGTTTGCACTTTTAAAAGAAAAAACAAGCTGAAGTTTACAGATTTCCAAAATGTTTAAACAGACCCCGTTTTTGGCCAGGTTTGACGTGTTTGATGTGGTCTGGCGCTCGGTTTTAAACACTCCAAATAAATTGATTTCTCCTAATTGCATAGTGTGTTTGCTTTTTGACATCCAACTTCTGCTTTGGTGAAAATTGAATTTAAAACAAGAAAAACTGCTTATTTTGACCCCCCCCCGATCGATCTACATCGGGCCAATCATGTGCATTGTAGGTGAACTATGTACATATACCAAGGTTGGTGGCAGCAGCAACTGTAACGTGTTGGCTAAACATTTAGGTGGTGTTGGAGAATTTGAACATTTATCAAATTAAACATAGATTCCCACTCATTGTTACTTCTTATGTGACTATTCAACAACGTCAGCATGGTTGCTGTATGTTTATGCAAATTAGTCCAGAGAGGACTTCAAGTTTGTCCCCATCATGCCATATTTGGTGGGAGGACACCTTTGTATGCAAATGATCTCATAACAATTTGAATGGTGTGATACTTGACATAAAGCATTGAAGCTTTACTTCATGTTGACAATACCATCATAATCAAAGTCTGCATAGTTACAACTGACCCTCTGGTTGTCTACATATTTTCTATCATTATCCTGTCACTTCAGTATCATTTCTACCAGTTTAATTATTCAGAACTGTGCATTTATTTATTTCTGGAATTGCTATCAGCCTTCAAAGATAATTGTTAACAGTGCCTTTGAGGTGATCCTGGAATGTTTGTAATTGGAATGGAGGTCAAGAATGGACTTTGAACTTTAAAGCTGCAGTGTTGTCTCAGTCTCTGAACAAACACAGATAAATTTTATCACAGCATAACCTGTTATTTAATCTCTCATACACAGCTCTCATCTGTTGGTCTACACGTGACAAATAAAAGCACAGGATCATATATAGCAACAGCTTCTCATTGAGTTGTCTTCATTGTTATTGAAGAGACCAGTGCTAACTTTTCTCAGCTAGATGATTTGACTTGGTAAAGTCACGATGGAGTACGAAGGACTAGGATGTCTGCATGATATGTTCAGGCGTCAAGCCAAGATATCCCCCGATGCTGTTGCTATAGTAGCAGAGGATGGCAAGACAATGACATACAAAGAGTTAGATGAGGTGACAGATATCTTAGCAACACATCTTCATGGCAAGGGTGTGGTTAGTGATTCTATTGTGGGAATATATCTAGAGAAATGTCTTGAATATCCCATCGCTTATATTGCAATTCTAAAAGCAGGTAAGAACCTTTTCTTCCAAGAGTAATGATTAAGTTTTATGTACATGTACATGCAGGTGATTTGAATAGCTGAATGGTGAATGTCTCATCCAATTACAGGCCCAATTTCCTTTTGAGACATTCTTATCTAAAAGCCAAATTCTTGACTTGAGATGCACTTCTGTCGGCCCTCATCTATTTACAACCTGTATTTCTGTTTCATTATACACATTTCTCTTTCTTTGTAGTAAACTTAAACCGGTTCTTTTTGCAGGAGGAGCCTATTTACCTCTAGATATTTCCTATCCTCAACCATTGCTTGATGACATCTTATTAGACTCCAAACCAGTCTCAGTTATCACCTTCAGAGATTCAGTGCCAAGACTCAAGAGTAAGTGCTTACGTTGTTTTTTGCAAAATGTCAACCAGACGTTCCGCTTTTTGATAGAAACAAATAGCTGGACACACCCTATGTAGCAATGCGTTGTGGTTTGGTGTTTTTTTTTATTCTATATTGAAGGTGCCCGTGATGTGACAGTTCTTGATACCAACTGGTCTGTGAGACTGAAGGAAGGAAACATCAAGCAAGGCCTAGATGTATCCATGTGTTCACAAGTAACTCTGGATAACTTAGCGTTTGTTGCTTATTCCTCTGGAACAACAGGAAAACCAAAAGGTAAATCTACTTTGTATTTCGAAAGCTTATTTTCAAACAGTGGATAGCAGACAATCTTTTGCACATAAAAATTGTAAAATATGTTGAAGAGTGAAGTAAAAGGTATTGAAGCAAAATGATGCGTTTTTTTTCACTGGCCAGGTATCATGTGTGTCCATCGAGCTGCTGTATTCTCTTACCACTGGCGACATATCAACTACCCATTCCAACCAGGAGACCGCATTGCTTGTAATGTCTTCTTTGTATGGGAAATGCTCAGACCATTGTTGAAAGGTAATTATCCTTGTCATTATTCCTGTTGTCTAGTCCATTTTTATTGTCATCATTACAGTCCTCAATGACATATGATATTACGCAGTGTTCTTGTTACTGTGAAATGAACCCTATAAACCCAAAAATGAAAGATGACTTTCTATTTTAGGTTATCCAATGTACATCATCCCTGATTATGTCATCTACGATCCTGCCCTACTCTTATCGTTTCTGAAGAGGCATGCTATTACTCGCATGTTGTTTACTCCATCACTCTTGGCTACAGTCTTAGACACTGATGATGTAGACATAGCAACTTCCCTTCAATCGATGAGGTGAGTGGAGTGAACATTGCGGCACCAGAGACTAGTTGCAGAGCCTGGATACTAATCAGTGGATTTCTGTTAGGAGATTTTTTTCTGGGGAGAAAAGAAGTTTTTTTATTTCAATGAGGAATTTCAAAATAACAGAAACTGTTATTACCAAGAAAAATTGTTCCCTGTCACCAAAGCCTAATTATTTTATCTGTAATTACATGACGCAAGTATCTTGTATGATAAAACCTGGGAGAGTCGGGTTGACAAGGTAGTTCTTTCCTCGCCTTCCACCTCTGTGGTCCCGGGTTCGAATCCCAGCCCGGTCCACATGTGGATTGGGTTTTCAGTCCCTACCTGACTCCGTGGGTTTTACCCAGACTATTCCTCTGGGGTTTTCCTCCCACCTCTAAAACTGTAACTGCTTCTTACTGTCTCCCCTTTACTGATGTTAGTGAATGTGGGTCATTGGGCGGCTGCCCGAGGCGCCCTTTTATGCCATCGGCTCAACCATATTTAAATGTATTCATTGTTCCACGCTTAATGTCTTCATTGTACAGCACATTTGAACATATCTAAATAAAATTTGCGCTTTATAAATGAATAAATTATTATTATTATAATTTCCCCATTTTTCTGATTTCTCAAAAAATATTTCACCACGTTGCCACAGAGTCATCATTTTAACAATTGTAGCTTTGAGCTTGATTTGAATATTCATGACTTTTTTGTTATGGTAATTTATTGTCATTTCAGGTTGATTGTTTTATGTGGGGAAGTGGTGACTGTAGGTCTAATGGCTCGCATTGCTGAGATTCTTCCTGATGTCATCGTCATGAATTTATACAGTGTATCAGAGACTCATGATGTAGCGGCGACTAATCTAACTCTGGAGATGAAATCCATTCTGGTAAGTCATATGACCCAAATGAGTTCAATTGGTATCTACCCTTCTTAGAGCCTAACATGGTAATGGGGACGATCACCCTGACCAAGGTATTTGTTTTCTGTCACAAGTAAGTAGTATATATCCGTCACTTCCTCCATGTGAGAACAAGAAACAGTGTGTTGTTACAACTAGCTTTGTGCAGTCTGGAGCATTACCCTATATCAACTATGCCACAAACCTTGTGCAATTTGATTAATCACAAGGCCTGTTCTAGCAGCCTGCAAAGGATTGTGGATGTTTCCGTAATACAATGTGCTCTTCTTAAACATCATAGCTTATGGGAAAAAAACACTGACTGAAAATTTCTGTTTTGCAAATTGATTGGCTGTGCAAAAAAAGACCATTACATTATCAATATATTCTCAAACAAGTTTGTACCGATGCCATGAGAAATTCCTCATTGCCAATTTGAGATATATAATGTTGAAGTTGAACAAAAAATAGTGTATTTTGAGAATGACCACCAAACATAGTCAGTAGGGGCACAGGAAAAATTCACTATGCCCATATTTGGTAATACTCAACTGTTTTGTGATGCTTGACAGTTTAAATTTGACGTCAACAGGGATCTGAAGGCAAAGAGAAGACACAGAAGTTTTGCCCAGCTGGTAGGTTGCTCCCTGGTGTTCATGTTGTCATCTTGAATGATGAGATGGAACTGCAACCAGTAGGCTCCTCAGGAGAGGTAGGTGTACTCTGTAAGGTGCTAACAAATCTTTGCCTAAGTAAGCCACTGATTTTAAATTTCAGCATACATTTTACATCATACTATTTCAATGACTTGGATGATAATGCCGAGTGGAAAACACATAGCCCTGTCCTTCCTAACAGTTTGCTAAGTTTAGCCACCTGTCAAGCCATCATTATGATGTCTGTCGACTTGCAGATTTATGTAGGAGGACCTGGCCTGGCTCGTGGTTATCTGAACCGTCCTGAGATGAATGCCAAACGGTTCATAGCTCGCCCCAAGGGTGTTCCAGAATCTGTTGGGGATAGATTGTACAGATCTGGGGATTGGGGATACATGTTATCCGATGGTCACCTGGAGATATGTGGACGATGTGATACCATGGTAAAAATAAGAGGTTACAGCATAGAAATACAGGTAAGAATCAACAATTTGATGCATTCATAAGAACGCACAGTAGCACTGACCTATGTTACTAGGAGCATAGAGGAAGAACACACAGAAGGAGTTGTAACTCAGGCACTTCAAAGTGTTCAATGATGGTCGCCGCCGAGTCAGACGAATAATAGAAAACATTCCAAAAAATGTCTTATTGCTGCCTGCATCTTAGCTGGACAAGCGGGGCCAGTAATACCCTGGCAATACCTGTAGTTTTTTGCTTGCAATTAAATACAAATTATCAATGTGACCAGGAAATAGAGAGAGAAAAATCCCTGATTTTAGACCTACTTTTGCCATTGTAAATAAAACTTTTTAAATTTTGATGCACTGTTTCATTATCCATGCAAAGTTTGTAATTTTATTCTCCTCCGTCCAATACATCAGTATTAAAAGACTTGGTACGAATTTGGCTCAGACTGGTCATCAAAATGTTTACTACTACTGGAAAGCTTAGTTCATTAGGAACAAAATGCGCTATTTCCTCACAGGAGCGATCATGAAATCTCATAAAATATACTTTTGTACAAATGTCATGATAAAAATGACTCTATGCTAGGAGTGAGCAACATGAACACGATACTTTGCTGCACCTGTAGACTACAAGCTGTAGAGAGTACCTAAACAGGTGTAGGCAATATAGGTGATCACCTGCACCTGTCTGTCAGGTCTGATGTCTACATTAACTCTAAATTTTAATGGCAAATGCTTCCACACTTAGACTCAACCAAGGTTGAGCCATTCCATCCACATCAACCAGCTGCATCTCATAGATGGCTAACTTCTGTATTATCTTTCAGGCTGTAGAAGCAGCCCTCTTGGAGTTGCCAATGGTGAATGCATGTACAGTGTTAGCCAAAGGAGCTGAAGGGGAAGACAAATATCTGGTGGCTTACATCGTCCAATCAGAACCAACCAGCAAGAAGGAAATCCGTGCTGCACTCAAGACAAGGATACCAGGATACATGGTTCCTGCATACATTGTGTTTCTTACAAGGTAGACGTGGCTATTAAAGATTGATTTACTTACTTAAAACATATGTAGTTGTTCCTGAAAGAACAGCGTAATACGTGTATTAGATTTACCTTGAGCAGTTTGAAACAAGAGGATTTTGCAGTTATTGAGTTTTCTTTTATTGTAGCATGCCTCTCCTACCTGCTTCTGGCAAGTTAGACAAGAAAAGTCTTCCTGACTTTGACCCCAAGACAGCAGATATTGGTCCTGTCAATGGAGAGCAAGGCAAGCCATGTACAGAGACAGAGATAAAAGTTGCAGCAATGTGGAGTGATTTACTGAGAATAGCTAACATAGATGTCCAAGAAAGTTTCTTTGATCTTGGAGGGTGAGTATCAGATGACTGAATACAATAGTTGTTGGTTTGGGGCTTGATTCATAAAGTTGTCCTTGGCTTCTCTTTGGCAACATTTCTCTGGCCTGTCGGTTCCACTAACCGATCTCTTAAACTTTGTCTATTTTCTTCTCTTTAGTCATTCTCTCCTGGCAGCGAGACTCTTAAACCAGATCAGAGATGGTTTTGGGGTACAGATGACGGTTCGTGAGTTGTTTATACACTCCACAGTGACCCAGATGTCAGCATTGATTGACTCCAAGCTTGTTGGAGAAAGCCCAGATCAAGGGTAATTAGATATATCAGATATAGTTAACTTCTTCAGCTCAAATTACCTGCTCCATACAATGAGTAACAGTTTTTGTCTTAAGAAAGAGAACCTGCCATTTTGTTGCTAACATAATTCTAAGACAGTGAGATGAATGCAGGCACTATCAGATCATTCAATGCTCTTGTTTTTCAAACCTAAAATCAAAACTGGGGTTTACTTGCATTCCGTTAAATTTGTTTCCATAACTGACAACATGATGGATGAAATGTTACAGGTCCTATCATGCTTTGAATCTTCATGAAGAAGTTAACCAACATGACCAAGGTATCGTCAGTATTGACATGCAATTACGGGCTTTTTGGCGTTCCATTCATTATGGAGACCGATGGAGAGCTGGTCGAGTCTTACTGACGGGTGCGACTGGATTCCTAGGGGCATTCATACTTAGGGATCTTCTTCGGAAAACAGAGGTAAGTAAACTGGACATAAAAACTGTATTCTTAAGTTTTAATGATAAGTTTTGCCCTTACATCAGCGTGTATTCCTAACGTGTTCAGTGTTGTCTGAAATGTACTTGCATCAGGGAGATGTTAATTCTTAACTCTTGGTCTTGCCCTAACTTTGGACATTGTTTGCAGTAGCCGCTTCTATATTGACTCGGGCCAGACAGCCCACCCCAGCAGACTTGGTGTTTGAGTGGCTAAGATCTCTGTACTAGTAAGCAGGAGGTTGTGGGTTTGGGGCCCACCTGAGTAAGCTTGCATATGTTTCAAAAGCTCTTACACAACACTAAGCATACAGTGTTATGAATATACGTTGGCGAAAGGCCAAATTCCATAATTCCAAATTCACATCTCCCTGACAAAAGTACATCTTTGGAAATTGTATTCCTTTTGAAAATATTCTCCCCAATTTCTGAATGTCTAGACCATTGAAGACTCAGGTAATTCAGTTGCTGCACTTTTTCTTTTAATGTCGTGAGTAGAACCACATTTACTGTTTGGTGAAAGAACTACCAGACTTGACAGGGAAGGAGCGTCTTCTGAGAACACTGAGGCAATACAACATCATTCTTAGAGAGACTGAGGGCGCTGATGATAGCGACACTAAACCTACTGACAATGACATACTGGCCAAGTTTGACAAGAGAGTCACCGCAATCACAGGTGAATGGAATTATTTCAAATTTTCAATATTAGCCGGATAATGGTAAAATTGAAGAAGGCATGGGGCATGATTAAAAAAGAATTCAGTCTTGTTGATCAGCAAAGCAACATGGAGAACAAGAAGCAGGTGTGCTAAATATGACTTTGCTGAAGTTTGCCAAGTGTTGACATTGTCCAGTTTATTAGTAACGTAACAACTGTTGTCATTTGCAGGTGATGTTTCTCTGCTTAGGCTGGGCATGATGGAGGAAGATTACACCTACCTCACCTTTGAGGTGAAAGTCTTGTATATCAATTTATACAACTCTCAAATGTTGTTCGAGGCTGTTACATTATTTTGTGCTCTTTTTTTCAATAAAATGTAATCATATTTTTTTTTAACCCTAACAGTCCCAAATCTTCCAATTTCAATATGATTTTACATACACCCTAGGGGGTTAGGGTTGAATTAAAAATCAATGCTATTTCATTTATCAGTATTGCACATGCTTCCATTGACTTATTTCTAGTCGCAACAAGTAATTCCTCTCTCTTTTTTTCTCCTCACAGATTGACAGTGTCGTTCATGCTGCTGCCTATGTCAACCTAGTCTATCCCTATGAAGCCCTACGAGGTGCCAACGTCATCGGTACACAGAATGTAGTACTCTTCTCATGCACCAATAAGATCAAACCTCTGCATCATGTGAGGTAAATTGAAATTAGTAATTAGACATTAGATCCACCTGTTATAATATCACTCTCTCACAAGTGTTGAGGAGATATAACTCATGGCTTGTGACATATTAAGGAGTCGACTCAATGCACTGATGAACACCTGCATGAAGACCACTTTTGGGCTAAGTTTACTGCATTTAATGAACTGTACTCCACAATTCATTGTGTTTACTAGCAGGTTTTTTTTATTTCTTGTTATCATAACAGCACCAATGCAGTGTTTCCAGTCGGTCTGACAAAATGTCGTGAAGATTGCAACATGTCTGCAGTTGGTGACCAGCTGACAGATGGATACAGTCAGAGTAAATGGGTTGGTGAGCAGTTAGTCCAGAGAGCTCAGTCACGAGGTCTGCCTGCAGTCATTTACCGGCCAGGTAGTTGAGCCCAAATTGACATTTTCCTAAATTTCCTTTTCCAACCAAGGTTTTATGTCGGCAATATTTACTCCAATACAACATTTAATGATGGGATGTCACTTCATATGAATCAGCCTGTTTATTTTGAATTTTACTCTGCTTTGATAAGCAAGTGAAGTTATTCCAAAGAAGAAACCGAATTGTCCTAGTCAACTGTGCGACCTGTTCCTTAATTGATTGGTAGCATCCTTACTGTGCAGGTAATCTGTCTGGAGAGTCAAAGACAGCCGAGTGGAATTCAGCAGACACCAACCTCCTAACATTACAGGGTTGTCTCCGGACTCTGACTGCTCCTGATGTCAAATGGTTGATAGAAATGACTCCAGTAGACTTTGTTAGTGAATTTATTGTTACAGTCAGCCAGAATATCATGCTGGGTGTTAGCAAGGTGTTTCACCTGGTCCATCCTGAACCTCTCCAAAGCAGGTATGTCACATTCTTTCCCTTCAACTTTTTCCATTCTTACGTTTCGTTTTGTTAAAATACTTTGTGGCTTACGGCCGGGTCTTACCCGATGGTAAAATGGAAGACTTTTGTCTTTTACAGGACTTTGTTTGAGTGGATTTCAGATCTAGGGTATCCATTGCAAATGCTGCCCTTTCATGAATGGTGCAATGAGTTGAAACGTCTTCATCATAGTGCGGATAAAGAAGATTCTTTACTGGCTGACAAACTGGACAACATTGTCAAGTAAGGAAAGAACAAAAAAATTACAGCTTCCAAATGAAGGAGGGATTTATTTCCAAAATGAGATATATCCATTCGAAAATTATGTAATTCTTCCACAATCATGAAAGATTGAAGAGTTTTAGCAGTGTGCCTAAATTTCTTTTTCACTATGTCTACTCATTCAAGTTGTGTTTAGCTGTCTAAAAGCTGTAGAAACTGATCGCAGGCAACAGAGAGTGGGTAGGATATCGCACTTTGGAAATAAGCTCTTTAAATCTTCTCGATTTACCACTGGCTAACTGCCCCTAAGGCCCCCCAAGTCTCTGGTTTCTGGTCACCGCGCACATAGACCTGTGCATCGGCAAAACAAAGAATTTTTAAATTTTGCATATAACAATTTCAAAAAGCCGCCAAACTTACGTGATCGGCAGGAATTCTGCTACCACGTAATTTTAACATGTTATTGATGTGTGGGGTTGAGTAATATGTACGGTGAAGGAATCCCCCTAGGCCTCCATACATTTCAGTCGGGCACTCTGATCAGATAACGTCATCCATGTATCTTTACACAAAGGCAGTGTGCGAATCAGTTGGCTGCGGCTTGATGTCATGCATGATTGGGGAACTAGCCGTGGATGCTGCCAATACTCGGTCTAATTTCCAGCCGTAGCCAATTGATTCAGACCCGGGCCCACGTATGTCTGTGAACCAGACAAATGAAGTGGTCTTGCATCCGGCTTAAGTATGCAAATTGAAAACGCTTTTTGAGCAACAAACCATGAGGAGCCAGTCTATTTCAGTGTTCGCGAGGCAGTGGCGGTACATACACATACAATGATTATGGACATGCATCCCGTTTGACAACCATACATGTAAGAACTCATGCATCGTTGATCGTCACTTGCCAAGAACAAAGGTAGATTGGAGTGAGAGGAGATGTTATTTTCTGAGCTGAATTTTTCCCCCAATATTTGTATGCAACTTGTTTCCTATAAGCTAAAACAGAAAACAATGTGCAGAGTATATCATTTGCCTCATGAGAATTTTATTTTCATTTTAACTCCGGAGCTGAACTATTTTTTATCATAGGCTGTTTTTTGACATGCAACTTGTTTCCTCTAAGCTAAAGCAGAAAACAATGTGCAAAGAATGTCATATACTGCTACCTCATGAGAATTTCATTTAAAACTGGAAACTGGAGCTGAACATTTATTTTTCACATGTGAGTCTTCCATGGTTGTGCTACTGTATTTTAACAAGCTCAATCTTACCAAGAATTGAAGCCTCTTGAGTGAGATGACTGAAACCATTGCCCCTAGTCATATTTTCTGGTCTTTTTATTATTTGGAGTTGTTAATTCACACTTCTCTTAGTAACAAGGCCATGCGCTCTAAAGTATATGTATGTGTACATCACGTCTAAGGAAAAAAAAGAGGAAAAAAAAAGTGTCACCGCAGCACTTTTGGACCAAGCCCATAACCAGAAACCAGAGTCTTTTATTTTGGGCCTAAAATGAGAAGTGTGTGTCGTTTGATTTTTGTTGAAAATGAAAAAGTCCAGACTATAACCGTTTGTTTTTGTTTTTAAATAGGAATGAATCATTCTTCATGGATTATACCTCCTTCTCCCAAGCTAACGTTGAGACAGTACTCTCTACTCTACAAATGTCCTATCCTCCATTGGATAAACGACTCATTCGCGGTTATCTCCAACAGCTGTTTGTGAAGAAGATCTTGAAACCACCGATCTTACTGTCTTCAAATTCTCGTAAGAATTTCTTCATTGCATGAGTAGCAATAGGGGTGTTCCTCAAAACAAACTTCCCCACCCATAAGGTAACCCTTGGCAGAAAGTAAGTTGTCTATTGTCAAGTTTCATCAGGAGTAAAGTTTGAGGCATATGCCTGGATTTCAGCCAGTCATCAACATTTCATATTGTGCATGATAAGAAATGTCTCATGCCATTGACTCATTCAGATGAATGTTATGTTAGACAAAAATATCAATAGTCTGTGATCTTGGTGATGAACTGTAAACTCTTGTACTGTTTTGTCTGCTAAATTTAGCATCCTATAGCCTGATGCCGTATGTTTACTATCATGTGACATGGTGTATATTTCTTACTAATTCTTGATTAATAATCACCACATCCCAAGTTGTAAGACCACTATTCGTCAGGCAGCATTTCTTTTGTGTCAATTCAAGTTGTTGAAATATTTATACTTTCAATGAACAGACAAACCCCTGCAAGGTAAGGTTGCTGTCGTCACAGGTGGCTCCTCGGGAATCGGTCTGGGTATCGCTAAGTCGTTAGCACAAGCAGGTGCAGCAGTAGCGTTAGCCGCAAGACATGAAGAGAAACTTGAACAAGCAAGACTGAAGATTGCAGAGATTGGAGGGAAGGTTATTGCAGTCCAAACAGATGTCTGTGTAAGACAGCAGGTAAAATATCGGTTCTAATCATTAATTGATTGTTTAAGACAGCAGGTAAAATATCGGTTTTAATCAATAATTGATTGTGTATGACAGCAGGTACTGTTCTCCAGTGGTATGCTAACAATTTCAACTTTTCAAACTGTAACTAGTGGCTGTGTGTTCATTGGTACTTACATATAGAACACTGAATTACAGACAGTGGCATATCTTGGTTCTTCTGAGGGGGGGGGGTTGGGAGCAAGGGAGGGTAAGAGTTCCCACTTAGGGGCCACTTGCCCCCTTGGCCCGCCCCCTGTGACTCAGCCACTGCTGAATTACACTCAGATCTTGAATGGAATATGAAAGGTACTAAAACTAGTGACTTCTCTCTGTGAGTTCCACAGCTGATTTGTTCTGTTGCTTGTTAGAAGATATGTGCTTTGTGTTATAATATGTGGTAGCATAGTCACTCTCTTTCCATGAACATGAATTTCTTTTATTATAGATGAAAGATCTGGTTGCCAAGACAGAGGTTGAGCTTGGTCCGATAGACATTCTCATCAACAATGCTGGGATTATGCACTTTACTTTGATGAAGAATTTATTGGAGGATGCATGGGAGAGAATGGTAGATATCAACTGCAAGGTGAATGTGGAGATTTAGCCAGGAACTTATCAACAATTTCACAGATACAAACTTAAAAGTTTCTTCAGATAAAACTGAAGTTTTTAATTCAATGATAAATTTGGAAGCAATTTTCTGATTGATTTTCCAGGGAGTCTTGAATGGTATTGGGGCTGTTCTGCCAAGAATGATAGCTAGGGGCAAAGGTCACATCGTGAATACGTCATCAGATGCAGGAAGAGCTGTAAGTTTACCCAAGGCATTTAATCAACTTTTGATAAGAGTGATTTACATTTTGCAGTGCATTGCAAAAACCTCTGTTATTCCGTTCTCTTGAAGGCATTTCCAGGCCTAGCGGTATACTCTGGATCGAAGTTCTTTCTGGAAGGCATGACATCAGCTTTGAGGAAGGAATTAGTTGGAACTGGTATACGCGTGACTAACATACAACCTGGCGATGTCAAGTCCGCCGTTGCTGACAATATCATTGATAAAGAAGTGAGGAATTGAATTGTTCACAATAGAAACCGAGTACAGAAAACCTGACAAGGAATTTTCATATGTTGATTATTTTCTAAATTGTTTTGTATTTAGCTAGCTTGGCAACTTAAGTTTCAGTGTTCAATTCAACAAATATAATAGAATTACCCAAAGATACAACTTGCCAGATTTTGCCGATGTACGGCAAATGCTATTTTACTGACCTTTTTGTGTGTTTTCTTTGCATTTCAGGCAGCAGATCAATATCGAAACATTGAATTGGACAAGTACCTGTCTCCTGACGACATAGGCAGAGCAGTCTTGTATGCTGTGACTCAACCCACAGGTGTTGCTGTTAATGAAATACTTGTTGAACCGACTGATTTCCCAGCTGTTTGAATGACATCAAAACTTCATTCTGGTTTTGTTTGAAATATTTCAATTGATCAAATCATTGGGTTCAATCCATGTCTTTTTTCTGCAAAAGATGAAATTCAAGAAATAGATTGAGAAATTTCATTTTAGTAGCACATCACGTCGATTGATTTTCCCTCAGCAGTGTTATACAGCGTGAAGAATGAAAACGCTAACTTGTCAGGTTTAATCATTTCAAGGAAATTGCAAACCCAAGTTTTAATTTGCATACATGTATATAGAACAGGTTACAACGTTATTAATGTTTGACTTTGATCGAACTGCAACTAACCTTGCTGACAACGAAGCAACAGGAATGTTGCAAATTATGCAAACTGCTAAGGGGACTTTATGTCACTGAGTAGCGTGTGCCAACTAGTCAGAGAATAATACCAAGGTTATTGATTGGTTGAAAGTCTCATCTGATAAGGTTGGCATGATGCTCATATCTCCAGAACAATTCAAGACTGATTGTGATATATTTCAACAAAGGATGACATTTTCGTCTGCTCATTGCCTATTTACAAATTATAGTCAACGTAGGCGCGGTGGACCTGTTCTTGGCAGATGGCCGTATATGCTGTTGTGTACGGTTCCATCACTATGTGATCGGACATATTCCTACGGGCAGCTTCAACCATGTGCAAGCGCACCTGCGAATGCTGCATGCTTGACTAATTTATCTTGAATAAGTAGATTACCATCACAACACAAGTGCCTACTCACCTCTGCCTTGAATGCTTCTGGTCTCAATGCAACTTCTCTTGCAATTCTGTGAAAGGTCAGAATGATTTCTAATGCAGAATATTCAACCGTTTTCCAAGAATACCTGAATAATTAAGACATCAACTTTCTTGACAATATATGATGGTTACATTTATTTTGTGAATGCATGGATTTCAACAAGTTTTTCTACACATTTAGCAATGGTGGAATGTCGTTTTATTCTTTGGAACATTTTATCACATAGCTCCAAACCCCTGGAAGTTTATATAAATTGTGGTAACGCTAGCGACTTTGGTTGTTTTATTTTCTTATATGTTGCTTTTTTGGTAGTATTTTTGTTTTTTTAAACTTAGCTCAAATGGTCGTGGGTTCACAGAAGACGCTGGGAAGCGGAAATCCATAAGAACGCCTTCCAAAACAGCACTTTTTTTCTCTTTTTGAAAGCATAACTTTGGAACGCTCAGTGTTTTCAATTTCGTTCTTTCGGCAAGTTGAATGTTCATTATTCCTTTTTCTAATGGNGATGTTGCAAATAATGCAAACTGCTGAGGGAAGTGTGTGCCAACTAGTCAGAGAATAATACCAAGGTTGTTGATTGGTTGAAAGTTCAGTTGATAAGGTTGGCATGATGCTCAGTATCTCCATAACAATTCAAGATTGATTGTGATATATTTCAAGAAAGGATGACATTTTCGTCTGCTCATTTGCCTATTTACAAATTATATTCAACATAGGCGCTGCGGACCTGTTCTTGGCAGATGGCCTTATACGCTGTTGTGTACGGTTCCATCACTATGTGATCGGATATATTCCTACGGGCAACTTCAACCACGTGCATGTGCACCTGCGAATGCTGCATGCTTGACTAGTTTATTTTGAATAAGTAGATTACCATCACAACACTATGCACTCATTACCATCACAACACAAGTGAAAAGTATAGTAACGAAAATGATAGGTTGAGAAGATGATGATGCCATGGATGTTGGTGAGAGGCCCTACTCTCCCCTTCCTTGAATGGTTCTGGTCTCTATGCAACTTCTCTTGCAATTCTGTGAAAGGTAAGAATGATTTCTGATGCAGAATATTCAACCGTTTTCCAAGAATACCTGAATTATTAAGACATCAACTTGTTTGACAGTATTTGATGGTTACATTTATTTTGTGAATGCATGAATTTCAACAAGTTTTTCTCCACATTTAGCAATGGTGGAATGTCGTTTTATTCTTTGGAACCTTTTATCACATAGCTCCAAACCCCTGGAAGTTTATATAAATTGTGGTAACGCTAGCGACTTTGGTTGGTTTTATTTTCTTATATGATGCTTTTTTGGTAGTATTTTTGTTTTTGTAAACTTAGCTCAAATGGTCTTGGGTTCACAGAGGACGCTGGGAAGCGGAAATCCATAAGAACGCCTTCCAAACAGCACTTTTTTTCTCTTTTTGAAAGCATAACTTTAGAACGCTCCGTGTTTTCAATTTCGTTCTTTCGGCAAGTTGAATGTTCATTATTCCTTTTTCTAATAGNTATAAAATATTTTTGAATAAATATTTATGTTTGAATGATTTTAAAGACCCGTCAATTTTCAAGTAGAAATAGTCGGTATCTGCATTTTTCAGCGGCGCAAACGATTTACGGGCCGATTTCTGTGACACCTCGGCTCATCGCAAATTCATAACTTCGGAAGCCCTCTACCGATTCGTTTCGTTCTAGCTCTAGTTTGTCTAAATATGATGTTCAAATCAAGCTGATTGGCCGATATTAACGCCCGCCCATTTTAGTGTGAACTTTTTGCTCCCATCAGAAAGGTCGTTTAAAACTGTATTAGAACGTGAATATCCATTAGCTCAATTCCCTCTTCACTGATGAACGAACACCTCACAGACCTTGCGTGAGATGAGGGCCCGCACAGAACCCTACGGGCAGATACCTAGCCTTTGTTGTAGTTTGCGAAGTGTCGAAATTTACTTCAAGGAATTGATATGGATGGATGTGCTGCTAGTAGCGTAGTTGGAACGGTAACATGGATTGTAAATGCAAAATCAGGAGAATTCCACTGCAAAAATACTGCACAATTATTGTCAGTCGATTCTATCTGTGTTATCTTTCGCCTATAATATCTTGTAATGATTACCCGAAGTGTATGTGATTGTTATGTGATGCAGTGCGACATGCATCATTTTTTGTCGTGTCTTGAGTTTCCCGTCCCGTTGAATTCTGCCACTTGGCGCTCTTTTGATGATACAATCGTCTATTCCATACAGGTATATGAGTGATAAACAGTGGCGTTACTGAGGAAGGGGGCGTTACGGACCCCCCACCCCGTGTGCCCCCGTGTGACCCTTACCACTCATAAATTTATAGGACAAAATCAAAGGCTGTTGGTGTGTGACCGAACCCACTGAGTGTCTCTCCAGAAAAACGAAGCCCCCAATACCCCCTGCAAAATGTAACTCGGCCGTGATATGCCATATTGTTGGTACGATTTTTTGTTTATAAGGGAAGTCACACAGCTTTTACCGTGAGGATATCTGTTTACTTGCTTCAAAATGTCAACTCCATTATCCATGGCACAATACTGGCTTGTGACAATGTCGGTGGAGAATCTTTTTACCTTCAAGTTGCTATTTTGCATTTTTCTTTCAATGGAAATGTAACGCTAGATGCGATTTGAAATTGGAAAAAAAGGAAAGATTTACTGCATGGAATGTTTTCACGTCGATCGTGTTACACCCGTTTCAGACATGCGTTCTAGGGTCGCGCCGACCGGCGTTCATAATGCCTAAAGGTGGAAATTCCACGAATCGTTTCCCATCGCGGGAATTTCAAACTTATTGTCCGGCACCCAATTTTCTATTAATTTCAGTAGTAGGTCTACTTTACGTTTGTCTACGAAGTAGTCAAGTTCAGACCTATTATCACATCTTCTCAATTAAGCCATTGTGGTGGTTTGTTGCGTGAACAACTTCCAGCATGCTTAAGTCAGGGACTACCCAGTAGTTACTCATCGACCACGCACGAGGAGACAAAAACTGTGTATGCCCGCGTCCTTGGGAGTTCCTTTCCAGCCCTGTCCAGCACCCAATCAGGGCGCTGGGAAGGGCTGATGACTTTGCACCAAAGATTGTATAGCGCCGCTGGGCGGCGCTATACAATCTTTGCTTTGCACTGTGATTGGCTACTTTGTGCACGACCTTCGACCGCGAGGTTATCACTTTCTGTCAGCGAAGCATAATTTTAAGTTTTTCCACAAACGAAAGTGTTGGCTTATGTGATAAAAACACGGTCTTGATATAATTACGGTAATTTATCTCCTAAATATCACTGATCACGAGTCTTTGGCGATATATATTTCAAAACATTGGTTATCCTGATCAATTTTAGATGAACTAATAATTTAAATAAAGTGTTGTGAGAAAATTTCAGCAGTGAGGACGAAAAAGAAAAAAATATGGAATTGATAACGCCACATTGAGTGAACCCGCGTGCCTGGCAGAAATTTACCCACAATGCTCTGCGCGTCGTTTTCTGTGACCCCGCATGACGTTTTCCTATATTCACTGAAATTTGTGCAAGGCCATCAGCCCTTCCCATGGCGCCCTGTTTGGGCGCTGGGCGACTAGCGAATGTAGTGACCCGGTCATATAGTGGGATAATTGACATTGTTATAGCTGTGCGCAGGTACATGTACACACAACGCAACATACAGGTTTTCACCAAAACGTGCTGGTGGGCAAAGACCTAATCTGGCGCCCTTGATGTATGTAATGCAGTTTGCCCTGTGCGTGTTGTGTCTACAGTCACGTGGTCATAGTGTTGGGGCCTGAAGGGACCACTCTATGATTCCAGAGAGCTAGGACGTTAACGGAGACATTAAGACACAACATGGGTAAGCTATTAATCAGTGTGTCCAACGTATCAAGATAAACATGCACACTGTTTTGATCGCTCTCTGGGTTAGCTCAAAGTTTGCTAGAGATAGTAATGTCATGTCCATCCACGCCTACATTACGCTGAATCATAGCCTTGGCAGCATGCGATCAATTGAGTGGCTTGACTCGCACATTAAATAGTTTACGTGCAGTAGTTAAGGAGGTACGTAGGAACATACTGCCAGATGAGTTTATCAACCAAGCGACCAGTCTAAATTCCGGGTCAGTTAACGAGGACGTGCATATCGAATAATTATACATGTACATGATATAGGTAGAGCCTAAAGCCTGCTC